GTGCTTCAGAAATTCAGAGTGCACAACAAAATTGGATAGTTGATGCACAAGCACTTATTCCCAAGGATCACAGATACAAACAGTTATGTACCAATCTAGAATTGATCAAGCAAAAAAACATTTTGAGGTGTAAGGGAAGGCTAGGAAACTCAAACTTTGAGTTTGAAGGGAAATTTCCTATTCTTTTACCGAAAGAAAGTAAGATCACAGAGTTAACTGTTTGTTCTTGTCATGAAATTGTTATGCATAATGGTCTGAAGTCGACATTAGCAGAAATTCGTTGCAAATATTGGATTCCACAAGGAAGGCAGACAGTTAAGAAAATTTTAAGGAATTGCATTACCTGGTAGAAAAGCTCAAAGTAAATCTTATTCCGTTCCACCAGTAGCAGATTTGCCAGACTTTAGGGTCCAGAGGACGCCACCTTTTCAGAATTTTGGGATAGATTTTGCTTGTCCGTTATACCATAAGACAAAATCTTCGACTATGGAAAAGTTCTATGTTGTATTGTATGTTGGCTGTACTTCAAGGGCATTGCACTTAGATTTGATAGACGATTTGTCAGGGCCAACATTCATTCTCAGTCTGCGAAGATTTACTGCGCATAGAGGAACACCACATCTGATAAACTCAGATAATGCTAAGACATTCAAGTTTACACATAAATTCTTGCTTAAACTCGCACAAGATCATTTAGTTTTTCTTTTTTACAAGCCAGAAGGATAAATTGGAGATTTAACCTTGAAAGGTCACCTTGGTGGGGAGGCCATTTTGAAAGATTAGTTGGTAGCGTTAAGAGAAGTTTAAGAGAGACTCTAGGGAATTCCAGGTTAACGTTTGATGAGTTAAAGGGGAAGTTCGGTCTAAAATGAAATTTGGCTATATTGCTGTAAATATAACAGAAGGCTTTGTTGTGAATTGTTTTTGCTCTTACCTCTCATTTTACTCTGTTATTCCACGAAAACTGTCTCCTAAAATCGCCTTGCGATAGACCGCCATCTTCAACTCTCACGAGGATAATGTTGTTGTTGCCTTTGACGTCATCACATTCAGAACATGAGAGTGACTCAAGTGTAAGCTATGGTGAAAGTTAATTGATTCGGAAGGTTTCGGATTGAGAAAGAACTTTTCTCGAAATCGGACCGTATTTAAAGATTTTTTGTTCAAAATGCTGAACTGTGGTGCATTTGGGTGCACAAATCGCTCGAGTCATAATAAAGAATTGACGTTTCATCAGATACCAGGGGAAGGTCGCAACAAGCAACTCAGAAAAATGTGGCTAACGAACATACGTCGTGCTGGTGAATTACCGAAAGACAAGAGTTTTTATATTTCCTCGGAACACTTTGCCGAAGACTGCTATGAAAGAGATTTTAAGGTAACTAAATTTTTAATTAATACGCTAATGCTATTTTCTACGGGTTTTAGTAATCGTCAGAAGTTTCGCCAGAAATTCTGCAAAAATAATTTGGGTACCTCTAAGTAGCTGTATCATTGTATGAAATAAACGATTTGTTAGATAAAAATAAGATGAAAACGGCTTATCAATGCCTCAAACGAGCAAAAATAAAACCACCAATTCTAATCTATTTTCTCAGTTAGTTTCATTTCAAAAAGCTTACTTGAATGCGCGAGATTTTTTTCTAGGGCTGAAAATATTGTATTACAAAATGAAAGGGGTAAAGCATTTACAGGAGTGACAGAAAACATATCTAATACAAACAAAAACAGCACATATAACATGTTTTGCCATAACCACTGCCAACTTCGTGTTAGCGATGACGACTATTATGAGTAATTCTTCTATTGATATTGAGTCATGATGAATTTCCTTTTTGCTCTGCCTGCTGCATGGGCGTCGTGAACGCCTTGTCTGTTTGGTAAGCCGAACACAAATTGCAAGAGGTGTATCCAATTTTGGGCATGAGGGATTAAAATCTGAAATATCTCATGCAGTGAAATAAATGAAATACAAGCACGTGATAGGGCTGCGCTTAATAAAAGGAGAAGAAGATGAATTTTGAATTGCTTAAATTCAAATTTTTCTTTAAATTCGAATTGAATAATATTTTGTTTTATGAAAAAATACTTTCCAGAAGAACTGATGGAAAACAAGCCAGGTGCAAAAAAACTAAAGGCAGATGCAATCCCTACAATCTTTGTATTTAGGGAATCGACAAAAAAGAGGAAAAATTCCATAGAGCGGGCTGCAAGGGAAGAAAAACGCAGAGTTTGTATTGTTTTATTCGTATTAAGACTTTCATAAAACATCCAGTGTTGTGGGGGGTTGAATAACAGACTGTTTAAATATACCGTCACGATATAGTTGGGCTATCTCGGGGGGCTCGGGGGCTCAGCCGCCTTTTAATTAATAGAATTGAATTCAGAAAAATTTTGGGGTCTCAGGTCCCTCTCAACAAAGCAGTTCATGTTTGTTTTACAGTGTCGCTTAATAGTTTGAATGTTTTGAATATACATAACGGAGAGTCTTTAACAGAAATGCAAGTATATTGAGTGCTTTAAGGGTGTGGTCTCTTGAAGTTTCCTATTGCACAGCCCTTCTTCTTTAGTTCTTAGGACGGCATCCCGGGTCTACATACTTGACAATAGTTTTCTTGTAGTAAAAAATTGTTTTCAATCTAACATGTAATTTTTCAGCTTCTGGATGCTGCATGTGCTTCAACGTCTCCCAATGACCTTGATGAAACGATTGCCAAAAGCGTCTCCATTCAAACGGAGTCTGAAAAATTTCTGGAAAAAAGCGTCGGTTATACAGTAAATATGGTACACAAGAAAGTTGGTACCTTCACCACAATGGTAAGCGTGGGAACCCAGTGTTGTGACCGTCAAAGTTCAACTGGCCCCGAAAGGAGAGATGTGGCAGTAAACACAGAAGAAATGGCAGGATTTGATGATTCTACCGCTTATGTCCCATCCTGCAGTGAGTCAGGGGGTGAGACCGATTCCTTCAAAGATGCCAATTTTTCTTTCCACAGCGACGAAAATGAATCATTTACGGAGGCTAGTGACGAAACTGATGACGAGGAGCTAGGCAACGAGCAACCAAGCCACGACACAAAATTTGTTGTGTTTTGGTCATGCTTGCTTCCATTGCTGCAAATTTGCTCAACTTGCTTTACGACTATGACTTTACGGAAAATTATACGCAGCGGGGTCATGGTAAAAGTTGAACGAATTTGCAGCAATAGCCACAAAACATCATGGTACTCCACTCCGAGAATACGTGGGATGTCTCTGGGGAATCTTGAATTGTCAGCTTCCATACTTTATACCGGCAGTATTTTCACAAGAATCCAAGAGATGATGTCACTATGCAACATATCGTTTTTAGGTCGCACAAGCTATCACGCTATACAAAAACAAATACTTTTCCCAACTGTCAATGACTTTTACGAAAACGCTAGAAAACAGCCTATTTCCTTAGTGGATGGTCCTGTAGCCTTAGCAGGGGACGGTAGATGTGATTCGCCAGGTTTTTCTGCAAAGTATGGTACATATACTGTGATGGACACAAACACCATGAAAATTTTAGACTTTTCCGTTGTCCATGTAGGAACTGTCTCGAGTTCTAACGCAATGGAAAAGCAGGGTTTGAAAAATTGCCTTCAAGCTCTAGAGAATCAAGGGATGAGTGTGGCATCGTTAACTACTGATCGTCATCAGCAAATCAAGGCATACATGAAAAACGAAAAGAGTAACATTAATCATCAGTTTGATATTTGGCATGTAAGTAAAAATATTAAAAAGAAATTAGTTTTGCTAGCAAAAAAGAAAGGCGCTTCAGATTTGAATGGTTGGATGAAATCAATTATAAATCACTTTTGGTGGTCTTGTGCGACATGCAACAAAGATCCTTATATTCTTCACGAAAAATGGTGAAGTATCTTATACCATATAAGGAACATACACAGATGGGAAGATGCAACCATTTATAAACGGTGTGCACATGCAAAGCTATCCAAAAGAGACAGATTGGAAAAAATTTGGTTAATAGAAGGTTCGCCTGCTTATGTCGCACTCGAATCGGTCATTAAGGACAAATTCCTGTTAAGAGATTTAAGGTATTTAACTGAATTTAGTCACACAGTGCAAATCGAGGTATATCATTCCCTTTACAATAAATATTGTCCCAAAAGGCTGCATTTTGGTTTCGAAGGAATGATTGCTAGGTCGGAACTTGCAGTATTGGAACATAATGCTGGGACAGAATGTAGACATGCCAAAACTCGGGAAGATGAATATCGGCACAAGTTGTCGTTTTCAAAAGTAACGCAAAACTGGGTAGTAAAAAAAATTCCCGAAAAGAAAGACAAACCTTATTTACGGGAACTTATGACAAAAACATTAGAAGCAAGAGAAGAGAAGAAAGCACCGAAATCTATAACACCTGGAAGCGTACCACAATACCTAGCATCTAAAGAAAAGCCAGACAAAGCTGAGGCCGTAAAAAACAAACGTACACGCTTTGAGACATAATTACCAATTATTTTTCATGTATATTTAAAAATTTCGTCATATAAGAATATATTTTAGTGTTAATACAGTATACTTTCATTAAGTGGGGCACTCAATGGACTGAGCAAAAGTGTACTACTTAGCAGGCGTCCTACTTATCCAAACTTGCAAAGGGTTTACTGTTCACATATCAATTATGTTCATTTATCCAAACTTAAAGAGAGTATACTGTAATTTTGTGCTTTTATTCGTCACTATCACTCTCTTGATATAGTCTTTTATCCTCAAGCCGGCTCTCCATGAATGGCACGTAGTAGGCGTTCTCAGACGGAAAACTATTCCGAATGGCCCAAATAGCACAAGATGGAATGACTTTAGAACTCCTTTGCCAAGCCGGTTATGAACCCACCACGTGTATTGCTTATATGCTGCGAAACAGAAAGTCCTACGGAATAGATAATAGTTATTAGATGTTAGAAATTTCTAGCCACGATTTGTTATGTCTTCAATATTTACAATGAAAAGGACTTTTTATTCAGTGTTTCAACCTAAAAGGCTTTTGCCTTTTTAACATGTAAAGAAACAGTGTTTTACTTACCTGTTATTTATAACAAGCTTGTCTCCTCTCAAGTTGTTCATAGCAGACAGGGCAGTTTCGAGTACAGCTCTGGTCAAACAAACAATCTTGAAATCCGCAGACAAAGATATGCAACTTTGGCCTTAAGAAAATGAACACAGTGTAATAAGCAATTGTAATAGTAACTGACTAAGTAATTTTATTTTTCTCTATTATTATGGGCTCCAAGGATGGATAGTGAGGGGCTCAAAGGAACATTTAGCACCCATTAAAAGATTTTGAAAAAGCTCTATTGTCTTGCAAAAAATTAGGGGGGGAATGCTTACCCGGCCCGCTTTGTGTGAAGGCCCTGATTCCCAGATCCTCTGCGAGCATCGAAATAAGTTTATTATTTTCTTTAATTCTTTAGATCTTGCTAGTATTCTTAAGAAAATACTTTGTTGCACTTATATATAATAAGTTACTATTTTTTGTATTTTTACTGCAAACTCAAATATTTTACTACAAATGTGTATAGTTTACAATGTTATACGGCGTTTTTTCAATTAAAAGCAAAAACGTTTACCTTGGAAGTAATTTTCTGGAATATCGTTAGTTTCTTGGCAGCAAAGACTTTCGGCGTATGTTTCCATTGCCTTACATTTACCCCCACAAACGCACCAGTAGGCATTTCCGATTCTCTCTCTTTCAGATTCACTCTCAGTAGAATCATCTGATTCTCCATCCAAATCGTTCAGTTCCCAGTCTTCAAGTTTCCGCCTAGGTTCCATATCAAAAGGCTTTAAACGATTTATTTCAGGAACCGCATTATCCTCCGATTCACAGTTTCCATCTGCGCTCTCTTCTGATGACAAGACTTCATCAATGAATTTTTCAGCCATTTTGCGGTAAAAACGAAATCTTGCAGTTGAAAAATATGTCTGTTCTCTATACTTTTACATAAATCTGTGAATATTATGTGGGTTGAGCAATAAATACAATGGGGTTGAATGATAAAAATACTATTGACTGCGTAAGCAGCGCTCATTCAGTGACTCACTGCGATCTTCTGAACGTGATGATGTCAAAGGCAACAACAACATTATCCTCGTGAGAGTTGAAGATGGCGGCCTATCGCGAGGCGATTTTAGGAGACAATTTTCGTGGAATAACAGAGTAAAATGAGAGGTAAGAGCAAAAACAATTCACAACAAAGCCTTCTGTTATATTTACAGCAATATAGCCAAATTTCATTTTAGACCGAACTTCCCCTTTAAATACATTGTTGATAGAAATTGAATGGTAACTAAATTCCAGACCGTTAACATATGTATATGATGAGTAAGGCTTTGAAGCATTGACACCATTCCATTTAATGGACGGTAGAAGGTTACCAAAACTGGCTGAAGGGGTTGAGTGTAAAACAGATTTATCTGACGATGACATTCCTTCCTACAAGAAACGTTTTTTATTTCTCGTTAAAAGATTAGATCATTTTTGGTCTCGATGGAGACGGGAATATCTTGCAGATTAACGAGAAGTACATAGATCGAGTCATGGAAATAACCCTGAGACAAAAGTTGGAGATATCATACTGATCAAAGAGGACAATGTAAAATGAGGTAATTGGAAGATGGGATTGGTTAAAGAACTGATTTCCGGAAAAGACGGAGTGGTAAGAGGTGCTAAGTTACGTATTGGAGGCAAGGGTAAGCCAGAGTTTTTGAATAGACCATTGCAGAAGTTTTATCCATTTGAAGTTAGATGTGCAGACCTAGGTAGTCGCAGACAAGAAACAGATCGTGAAAAGAGAGAAGAGGATGGGGGTGAATACTTACCACCTTCTAGGGCTAGGCGAGCAGCAGCCAAGGACGCAGAATGGAAAACAAGGTTCATGCTTGACTCAGAGTGAGTCAAGGAGGGGAGTGTGTTGGGATTTTCCTTTCATTCCAGCGCATTTAATATAGCACTGCAGTACATGCTTTTCGTGTAGAGATCTGTT